AAAAAAAAAAAAAAAAAAAAAAAAGGAAAAATTAAAAAGGAAAGGCTAAAAAAACCAACGAGGAAGAGGCTGCTGCTACAACTCCTTCCCTGCCCTCCCCGCGCTCGGGAGGGCTCGGCCGCGGAGCTGCGCGCCCCGCACCGCCCGCACAGCCCAGCGCCGGGAACGCGGCTCCAGCGGGGACATCCCCAACTCCCGACCCTCCCGCTGACCCCCCCGCCGCACAACCCCCCCTCACCGCAGCCCCTCTACCCGCAAACTTCATTTTTTATTTACTTTTCCTTATTCTTATTTTCCGAGTCGCCCCCCCTCCCCTCCCGCACCCCCGCGGGTGCGCAGCGCAGCGCAGCGCTCGCCCGCCGGGGACCCGCACGGTCGCCGATATATCGCGATTTTGCCCCAACCGGGSAGCCCGCTCTGCTCCTCAGCACCCAGCCCTGCCTTTACCCCTCTCACACGCTGCCCCGGCGAGAAATTATTGTGATTATTATTATTATAATGAGGAAAGCGATGGGACCCGGCTCGGGAAGGAACCAGAGGAGCGCTCACCTTATTTAGATCTATTTTTTCATTTTCTTGAATTTTCTTCAGATCTGTCTTCTCAGAGAAACTAATGCCTTAATGACTTTCTGGTAGCTGCAAGCCTTCTTTTATTTCTGCTAAATATATGAAAATGTATGCAAATTTAAATCAAGCTTAACCTAGGAGCTCTTGCAATATATTTAATGGAATTTCAAACCAATAAGGGGACTCTGATGCAGTCTTCTGGAAGTGCAAATATAATTACGCAGCTCGGTTACCTCCAAAACGATGCAGGGAAAGGTCATTTTGGAACTCGGGAGCGGGTCGGGGGTCCCGGGGCTGCGCCTCTCCCCGCCCCGCCGGGGCTCCGCGGGTGCGGAGCTCTGCCCGCCGGGCCCGAGCGATCCGGGGGGCTCCGCGCTCCCCCCGCTGCTCCCGGGGGGGGGTCTGGGGACCGCACCAACCTTTCTCCCATTCTTTTCCCCTTTCTCACAGTTTTTCCCTCTTTTTCTCCCTTTTTTCCCGGTTTTTCCCTGCAGCCCTCCCGCCAGGAGCGCACCGGCGGCGCGCCGCGAACTTTGAGGAGCATCCACCGGGATTTACCGGCGGCGAGGCCGGGAAGCTCCTTTTTGGGGGTGTTTTTTTATTATTTCGGGGTTTTGCTCAGTTTCTTTTTGCTCCCGCCCGAGCGCGGCGGCTCCGCACGGCCCGGGGCAGGCGGGGACGCGCGGCTCGGGGCAGCCGCACCGGGGGAGGAGCGGAGCGGAGCGGAGCGGGCGCCGCGCACCCGGAGCCCGCCCGGGCCGGCGGGCGGGGGCAGCGCCGGGGTGGTCCCGCGGGGCTGCCGCCGGGGCGCCGCCGTTTAACCTCTGCCCGCGGCTAATCGCTCCCCATTTAAGCCGTGTCCCCCGCGCCCCCCCGTTCCCGGGCGCTCCCCATTTAAGCCGTGCCCCCCCGCGGGTCCCCCCCCGCTCCCCGCCCGGCGCGGAAGGAGTTAAGCGGCGGGGCCGCCTCGCGCCCGGCCCCCGGTGCCGGCGGAGTGATTCACTTCCTGCCTCGCGCCCGCGCGGCCCCGAGACCCCGCCCCTCCAGGGCTCGCCCCGCCCCCGCGCCGCGCCCATTGGCCCGCGGTGCCGGCGGCGCGCCGCTATTGGCCGGCGCGGGTGTCAGTCACGGCGCGGCCGCCGCCGGGCCGCCGTGCCGGTGGATGTCAAAGGCTGGCGCGGCGGCGGCGGCACAGTATAACTCGTGGGGCTGCCGCGGCCATGGCCACAGCCGCCTCCAACCCCTACGGCCTGCTGGGCGCCGGCGCGCTCGCCCACGCCGAGGGCGCGGGCATGCAGCAGGGCAGCCCGTTCCGCAGCCCGCAGAAGCTGCTGCAGAGCGAGTACCTGCAGGGCGTCCCCGGCAATGGGCACCCGCTGGGGCATCACTGGGTGACCAGCCTGAGCGACGGCGCGCCCTGGCCCGCGGCGCTGGCGGGCGGCCCGCTGGAGCAGCCCGACGTGAAGCCGGGCCGCGAGGACCTGCAGCTGGGCGCCATCATCCACCACCGCTCGCCCCACGTCTCCCACCACTCGCCCCACGCCAACCACCCCAGCGCCTGGGGCGCCAGCCCGGCACACAGCGCCTCGCTGGCCGCCCCCCCCGCCGCCGCCGCCGCCGCCGCCGCCGGGCAGCCCCTGAGCGTGTACTCGCAGGGCGGGTTCGCGGTGGGCGGCATGCTGGAGCACGGCGGGCTGACCCCGCCGCCCGCCGCCGCCGCCGGCCAGGGCTTGCACCCGGGGCTGCGCGGCGAGGCCGGCGGCGAGCACGGCGAGCTGGGCGGCCACCACTGCCAGGACCACTCGGACGAGGAGACGCCGACCTCGGACGAGCTGGAGCAGTTCGCCAAGCAGTTCAAGCAGCGCCGCATCAAGCTGGGCTTCACCCAGGCCGACGTGGGGCTGGCGCTGGGCACCCTGTACGGCAACGTCTTCTCGCAGACCACCATCTGCCGCTTCGAGGCCCTGCAGCTCAGCTTCAAGAACATGTGCAAGCTGAAGCCGCTGCTGAACAAGTGGCTGGAGGAGGCCGACTCGTCCACCGGCAGCCCCACGAGCATCGACAAGATCGCGGCGCAGGGGAGGAAGAGGAAGAAGCGGACCTCCATCGAGGTGAGTGTCAAGGGCGTGCTGGAAACGCACTTCCTCAAGTGCCCCAAGCCGGCCGCCCAGGAGATCTCCTCGCTGGCGGACAGCCTGCAGCTGGAGAAGGAGGTGGTGCGGGTCTGGTTCTGCAACCGGCGGCAGAAGGAGAAGCGCATGACCCCGCCGGGCGAGCAGCCGCAGCACGATGTGTACTCTCACGGCGTGAAAACGGACACGGCCTGCCACGACCTCTGACCGCGGGCTGCGGCCCCGGGACTGCCCGGCCGCGGGACTGCCCGCCGGGCTTTAACTTATGGTTTCGGGAGTCGCGGCGCGGGATGCCCGCCCGCCGCCGCCTCGGCAATATTTTTTTTTTTTTTTTTTTTCGCCCCCCTTCCCCCGAAAAAAAAAAAAAAAAAAAAAAAAAAAACGAAAAAAAAAAAAAAATAAAAAAAAAAAAAAAAAAAGAACGAAAAACCCGACAGAAAAGGAAAGACAGATGTGTGCCTATGAATAACCTTCCAGCGCCTTGGTTATATCAGCTGTATTTCAGGTGAATCTGTTTTACAATAGACTAGTTTTGCATTTTTAAAGACTTATATAGCGTTTTTAAATGTCTGAGGTGTTTTACTACAAACTGTACACAATATTTGTGACCTAATTTGTATCGAATTGAGCAGTCCAAACGTTCTTCCCTTCCCCACGCACCGGCAATGTCACCCAGCGGGGCCGGGGCAGGGCGGCCGCGGCCCTTCCTCACCCCCTCCCCGAAGAGATGGGGCTCCCTCCGCGCCCGCGGAGCCCCGCACCGATCTGAAGAACAGGCTTATTTGTTGCAGCTTTTTTCTTCCTTTTCGAGAACTTCCCAGCACCGTAAAACGGTCGGGTCACAAGCCTGACCTCCCCCCCTCTTCTCCCAAGGAAAACAAAAAAATTTTATATATATATATATAATAATTATTTCTAAGAGATTTACCCGAAATTGAGCATCACAACCAAACCCGTGGCATTTGCCAGTCTTTTTTCTTTCCGAAGATGAGTTGGGCTTTTTGATCAGCGCCAGACTGAGAGGTCTGTAGTAAAACACCTTTATCCTTCTGCGCTTTCGCTTCGGAAATCGGTTTCTCTGTATTTTGTTTCGATAGTGAAGAGGAATGAGGTGTCGGGGAGGGGGGGAGGGAGAGAGGGAGGGAGGGAGGGGAAGGGGACAGAAAACGCCCGCATTTGGTTCACGCTGAGCTTCTTTCCGCGTCACAGGGAGATGCTGGCTTTGTGGAAAAGCTTTTCTAGGGGGGAGAAAATAATAATAATCACCGACAAAACAAAACAGGGAGGGAAAACACCCCCTTAGCCACCAAAACAAAGTCACTAAAATGCTAACGCCGTTTTTTTGKGCACAGGGAAGTGCTGAGCTGCACCCGCCCCCTTCTCCCCCTGTCCCCCCCCCTCCGTGGCTGTGTTGTCCCCAAGGGCGGGGGGTGCGGTGGCCGCGCACCCACCCGCGATGTGTCCGTGTGTGTCTGAGCGTGTGTTTGAGCGTGTGTGAGGTGTGTTTGTGTGTGTGTGTGCACCCCCCGAGCCCCGCACCCCGGGGCCGCCGGGCAGGGCCGGGCTCCCCCCGTTCCCGGGGCTGCACCCGCGGCCCCCCGAGGGTCGGGCCGGTCCCCGCTCCGCAGCTCCCGCACAGCCCCCGCACCGCCTCTCCC